AGAAGCAGAAGCAGAAGAAGAAGAAGAAGAAGAAGAAGAAGAAGAAGAAGAAGAAGAAGAAGAAGAAGAAGAAGAAAAGAAGGTGTTTTGCAGGGTACAATGGGTTTAGGAACAAACTTATTCTTGTAAGGTATGGGGACTGTTGTGGGATGTTGTACTCTTTTGGCTTTTTTGGGGGTCCACCACCCAGATCTGCCTCCTGGTTGGTCGTGTCCCACTGAAATTTTAGAACAGTGGGGTCAAGATCATCTATATTGTGTCCCCAGATCCCTTTCCTTGGGAAGGAAAAGAGAAAGGGGTGTTGCAAGGATAGGAGACTGGATATGTTTCAGGTACCACATCTCCCTCACCTCAAATTACCCATCATGGCCAGCAGGTCTTGGTAGCTAATCTGCTGCGGACACAATTTGCATTTGGGACTCACCTCTTGGCTCTCGTCACCCTTCGATTTTCACTCTGGCCTTGAACTTAACAATCTTCTGCCTCAGTTTTCTGAGTGCTGGGGGGACTGGTGTTATACAAAAGGACTTTAAATTATCCCCAGATTTGAGCACCTCCTGTGACTCCAATTAGTTTTAAAAATTACAATGAGCCCTCTTTTATTTCTAATATAATGGGTGGGATTTCCTTTGTGCTTGGAATATGAGTAACAGTCATCTACACTGTAACACTAGGGACTTGTAGAAGTTTTACCGTGCTTCTCTTGGGCTTTTGATTTTCCTTCACCATCTAGTCTTTTCTTCTCCCCTGGGACAAACGGACATACAGATGGACAACTAAAACATCTTTGGTCAAAGTTCATGAGATTCATACTGTTCTGTCCAGATTACAACCCCCAGGGAGGCACAGCAAGGTTCAATTAGCATACAATTTCAAAGAACTAATACAAACATGTTTGGAACCCCTGTCTACTGACCCCGTTATAGCGAGGTAGAGAGAGGAGCTGTAACTCCTCTGCGGGGTAGGCTTTTAAAGGCATAACTACAAAGAGGCTTTCTGAAGCTGCTTTGGCACGGATGCAAGGATTTTTGCTCCCTTCCATTCTGCTAAGTCAGCTTTCTCCTTGTTCTTAGAGCAAGGCCACTGTTCCTGAGTTAGGCCATCTTTATCAGCCTATACCAGGTGGCTGACTGGGCTGAGCTAAGTGACAGGCGAAGGCCACTATCTCCCTGGGAAAACATTCTGCTAGGAAATTTCTTCTCGCCCCTTTGAGAATAAGATCCTACATTACTACTCGCCTCTACTCAAATCCCTCACTTTCAATTACTCAGGTACACTTGGGTCAAATACCCCATCCCTTCTGCATTCGGTGAGAACTCTGCCTTAACTGTTTCTTCCACGGTTATTTGAAGGACAGTATTCATCCTTTCAAATGTTACCCCAGTTTTTACCTAATATTTTCTAGAACATAAAGGCCGTTTTAAAAATTCTTTTCTTCTTAGTCAATAAGATAGAAGGCTAACCTCCCAATCTTGACAGGTTTGTGACCCTATGACCTAGGCTTTGGGATCCCGCCTCGTTTCGCCCCTGGAGACACAAACTTTGCCCCTCCCGGGTCCTACCTCATCCCTGTCAACTCCCCCTGCTCCCTACACGCCCCTCATTTGTCCAAAGCCCCTACTTGGCAGCTCCAGCATCTAAACAATCCCAGAGAGTCTGATGCCTTAGACGCCGTTCTGGAGCCCACAGAGCGCGGCCCCGTAGGTATGGAGATTCCAGCCAATCGAAGCCCCAAACGCAGCGAGGTCGGATCATCTGACCAATCGCAGTTCTAAATGCAGAGAGGGCGTATTCTCCGGCCAATCGCAGCCCGGAGTGCCGCGAATCTCCGGCTTGGAGGCGTTTCCGTGGAACGGTGGGCGTGGCTCAGGAAAGATGGCGGCGCCCGCGGCTGCGGCTGAGCCCCAAGCCTCCGGGGCTCCCCAGCTCCCCGTGTGTCTCTTGGTGTTGGGAATGGCGGGATCCGGGAAAACTACCTTTGTACAGGTGACGTGCACTGCGCGGAAGCGGTAGTAGCGCTCGGCAGGTTGCCCGTGGCTAGGGAGAAAGGGAGGAAGTTGTCTAGGAGTTGGAGGGTCTGGGCGCGTGGTTTCCTGGGGTCTTGCCTCTGACTCCCGAAGCCTCGAACCCTAGCCTGGGTCCCGTAAGGAAGCCTTCTGTAACTTTAGTGCATGCTTGGTGCCACTGAAATTGTCTGGCTGTGAAGGCCCGAGGTTAAAGAGTAGGGGGATATAATGCCAATACGCTGGTTTTGCGTGAGGAGTTAGGTGTTCTTTCGACCGACCACGTTCTAAGTTCTAAGTACCCAGTGAAAATGAAATGGACAGGGATTTTGCTTTCACGGAGTTAATGTTTAGTAAAGGAGTTAGGAAAAAAGGCCTTTACAGGGGCATTCAAAGTTAGTGAAGAGGTGATGGAGGGCGGGGGAGGCCTGCTGGGTCGGTAGTCGAGCTAGATGGCTTTTAAATTGAGATTTCTGTGTAATCGGTGCAGGGGAGAATGAAATTGCTACAGCTTTTATAGGATTGGTCAGTAAAGTAATGGGACTTCTTTGGTCCTTGTCCTAACGTTTATCACCACCCTCCAACCCTCTCCTGTTTTTTGCAGAGGCTCACAGGACACCTCCACAGCAAAGGCTCCCCGCCCTACGTCATCAACCTGGACCCAGCTGTGCATGAAGTCCCCTTTCCCGCCAATATTGGTGAGTACCTTCAGTTTTCATTTCTTTCTGAACTAACTCACTATCCTCTTTTTCTTTTTATTCCTTTGGACTTGCCCGAGTTACACAGCAGGCTTTCTTCTTGTTGAGATTTAGCCCTCTCTTTATTCTAACAATTCCTAAGTTTGTATCATTTCCATTCACCCCGTTTCTCTTTTGTCCTTAGTCTGTGAAACTCTTGTAATTCATTTGTGAAGAAGTGAGAGTAAGTCTATTAAAAAATGACACATAAATCATTTAGTTTCTTTTGTCAGAGTGTAGTAATAGGTTATAGGTTCTGCTATAATTCACTCTGATCAGTAGGAAGGACCTTTCCATTCCCAAAGTTGTGGGGTGTGTGTGGGGAGTGTATGTGTGTGTTAGAAATAGGCATTGTGTCTTGAAAAACCAGCGTGTGAGTGTGTGTGTGTGTGTGTGTGTGTGTGTGTGTGTGTGCGCGCGTGCGCGTTCACACTCTGAGCAGAGTTTCTGTTTCTGACTGAAACTATTAGAAAGATTATGTATGGGTATTATCCGAGGGAGTCTGAGGCAGAATATTGAGAGGTCAGGGTCAGTGAGACCTTCATAGCCAAACCCTGCTTGTTTGTTGTTTTTTAAAGAGAGAAAAAAATGGGGGTGAGTGGTAGAGTCATGTGATCCAGGGACAGGGCTCTTGCTAGGCTCAGGCTTCCTGATCCCAGGCCATAACTGTCACTTCTTAAGCTTTTTAAACTTCTTGTACCCCAAATACGCAATTTAAGGAGCGGGGGGAGATCTTGTTTTAAGAATCATAAGTCATTTTCGGAAAATTTTACAAAAACTTTCCTGTTAATAAAGACAAAAACCCAAAGAAGCCTTAAAAACATGTATCTCAAGCTAGAATGCAGATTAATAAATATTGAATTTTATCAATCTAAAAAAACTTTCCTATTGAAACTTGAGGATAAAATTGTAATATTGGTCATCTTCAGACTGGTGGGTAGGTTTCTTCTCATTCATTGATTTTTGTTTTATGTGTGTGGATGTTTTACCTGCATCTGTGCACCATGGTATGTGCCTGGTTCCTTCAGAGGCCAGAGAAGGGCGCTAGAACCTCTAGAATGGGACTTGGAGACATTTGTGAGCTGGAAACTGAATTTGGGTCCCATGCAAGGGCCTTAAGTAAGTGCTCTTAATCACTGAACCAGCTCTCCAGCCCCTGGCGGGTAGGCTAGCTTTATTACCAGGCAGTAGTTTTTGGTTTGAGGATTTTTGTTTGTTTTGTTTTTTCCCCTCTGCATGTGCCTACTTCCATTGAAATTGTCTAAAATATTTAATCTTATTTCAGACTATATCTATCATAATTAAGAACTTCTAGCCTAACTTTTTTGTTTGTTTGAGACAAGGTCTCTCTATGTAGTCCTGGCTGTCCTGGAACTCACTTTGTAAATAAGCTGGTCTCAGGCTCACAGAGATCTGCTTGACTCTGCCTCGTGAATGCCGGATTAGAAGTGTGCACCATCACACCCAGGAGCTTAACATTCTTCACAGGATACTCAGTGGTTCTCTTAGTCAGGAAGGAAGCCACTGTAAGTGGAGAAAGGTATAAGAAAATGCCGGTTAAGAAGCCTAAGTCAATTATGGTGAGACTCTCTGCAACCTCAGCACCCAGGAGGCTGAGGCAGGAGAATTGCTCAGAATTTGAGGACAGTTTAGGCTACATGGAAAGTTCAAAGCCAGTCTGGACAACTGAGACCATGCTTCAGAAAATAAAATAAACCATTATCTCTCTTTTCCCTTCAGATATTCGTGACACAGTGAAGTATAAAGAAGTCATGAAGCAGTATCATTTTCCTCATCTGCCAGGGACTGACTGCTCCTGCAGAATTGCTCCCCACTTTGAGGGAGTGGTTTGCCTGTCACACTGTGACATAAACAAGTAGAACACTCAGCTTCCTTTGAAGTCATCGTGTTAGAAAGATGTCAGATGAGTAAGATGAGTGCAGGAGAGATTAGAGATTCCCAGCAGTACTTCCTCTCCATTTGATTTTCGTTTCTCAGCATGCTCAGACCACAGGGGTTATAATTAGAGACCAGAAAATGAGTGGCCATTTGGTAGCTGCCGGGGTCCAGTGAAATGATGTTGCCTTGGGTGAGATAGTCATTGATAACTATGAATTTGACCCGGAAACTCAAGAAAAATACGTTGAGTTGGATTAATTCCTATGGAGTGATTTCTGCATGACATGTGGCTCACTGTTAGTAACTTTAGGTAGCTTAGTTAGTGAGAATCAGTAAAGAGTGTTACGTGTAGCTCTGACTGGCCCAAAATTCACAGAGATCTGCCTCTGCCTCTTGAAGGCTGGGATTGAAGACATTGAGCTACCATATCTGGCTCCATAGATGATTTTAATAACTGATGCCAGCAGTCTGTCACTGTTTGACACATCTGTGTCTTCACTAAATTTTGGCCATTCTTTTGTCTTTATCTTGTATGACCATCCCTAAAATGATAGAGGAACAAGGAGGACGTTGCTAGTAAATGATTCTTGTAACACTAAGGTCATACGGTTGTCAAAGACTGGGTTGCCTGTACCCATTAATTGAACACTAATACTGTTATATATTGAACATAATGTTAAAATTGAACATAATGCTTTTGGATGAATGACAATCTAGGTATGAACTATATAATCTCATTTGTGCAATTTAAATCCTTAACTGAATGCTCAGATATGGACTTGGGCCAAATGGTGGCATAGTGACCTCACTCAATCTCTTTGCTACCAGATTTGATCAGGTAAGGCTTCTTTTACATTTATAGGCATGGCACTGTAAAACCATTCTCTTGTGTGCTCTCGTCTGATCACATAGAATAAGCAGGGCTGCTAAAGTGGAGACATACCGAAAATAAGCAGGCATTTTGGTAGACAATAGTCTCTAAGTGTGGTGGGTCCTTCGCATTTAATGTTTGTGAGAACAAAACAAAACCCAAGAGACCTGGGTTCTTTCTCTGGCCTGCTATCGGCTTATGGTGTTACTGAGGGTACGGGGCACTGCGGTTAGCTACAGGAAGGGATGGTGAAATAATGACACTTTTTCTCGTGACGAGTATTTGCCATCCTCTTTGCTTTCTCTGTCACTCCCATGAGAGTGGCTTATAATCATTATGTTTTACTCTGATTCTGCTACTTGAGACATTAACATTTGACAACAGCCAGGCAGCATGGTTTGTACCAGAATTCCCAGCTCAGGAGGCTGAAGGGTCCTGGAGTCCACAGTGTGCCTGGATAACACAGCTTGGCCTGGCTCTTTAAAACAAACAAACGTGGCCAGTGTGCCAGGGACCCTGACTTCTCCTGACAGAGCTGCGGCTGTGGCTCTGCTTCCTTGAGGAGTCCCTTGCTTGGTGTCCTTGGGTTGGGCTTTGTGATGATGATTTAACATGTGCCACCCTGGAGGGAGACCTCTGGAGTTGTGTTGGAATTAGATCCTGTTACAGTTGACATCTTTTTCTTCTAGGTGATGAAATTTATCGAGAAGGCCCAGAACACATTCAAGTAGGTGGTCTTAGTGCCTACACATCTACTGCCTGTCATTGACACATTCTAGACTTTGAGAGGATCTGGAGATCCTTGACCCCTAAAACTTTTCACTGAGACAAGTTGTTAGAAATGAAAACAAAGAAAGGGGACAAGAAAATCGTTGAGATGACATTTAATACAGAGGATTACTACCAGTTACGGTGACCCCTGCCCAACACTTCTCTTCGTTTTACATGACTTTTGGAGAAACACTTATTCTTTCTCCTTTCTCAGACTAAGAGAGGAAGACATTTGCTCATCATTTGAGGGAACACAGTCTACCATGATGGGGAAGACATCATTTCTCAATAACTATTATTAAATTTTGATATGTTTACTTTTTCTAAGGGAGAAAGATAATTTACTGTTTTATAAAACAAAACAAAAAAGGAGACACTGACCTATACCCCATCCCCAAGTTTCCCTGTTTCTAAAAGTATAGTTATTAAGGTACATTTTACACGCCCGCCATTCCTCATCCTTGTCCCTAAGAAACAGGATGTTTCCCCAGAGAGCGTCATGTCTCCTTGGTAGTGCAGTGTTTCTGTAATCATCACAGTTTCCTCTGATTCTGTACAGCAGCTTGGCTGTGCTGTTTCTTCTCAGTAGCATGAAACTTGGACCTGGAGCGAGCTCTTGGGAATATGTATCTTTCGGGCACAATAGGACTGTGTTTGGCAATGTGCAGAGGTTATTGCTATCTTGGATCAGCAGACATTGAGCTTTCTCTGTGATGGGAAATCTTCAGAATTGCCCAAGTATAACACCCCTTTAATGGTCTCTTTGACCCAGGTATGTCTTGATTGACACACCCGGACAGATTGAAGTTTTCACCTGGTCAGCTTCTGGGACAATCATCACCGAGGCCCTGGTGAGTGTGGGTCTTGTTCATGAGAGCATCTGGAGAGTTAGCTCGGCCTCTGTTTACTGCCTGGGGCTGAGTGTGAGGTGGAGAGGTGAGGCTCTGCACACCTGGTCAACCTCGTTCTCTCTTGGCAAGAAGGGAGGAAGAGCCTGGGAACAGGTAATGAGCCCTAAGACTTTACTTATTCTGCGTTCCAGGCATCCTCATTTCCCACAGTCGTCATCTACGTCATGGACACATCACGAAGTACCAACCCAGTGACCTTCATGTCCAATATGCTGTATGCGTGCAGGTAACCGATGCTTGATAGATGCGGTGTTTTGTCAGCTGTGAGGGCTCCTCTTCTTTCTACTTTTTATTTTTTAAAGACATTACTTATTTACATGTGTGTGGGCCTGTATGAGTGTATGTCTACCACATGTGTGCAGGAGCCTGTGGAGGCTAGAAGAGGTGGTCAGATCTTTTCAAACTGTAGTTACAGGCAGTTGTGAGTCACCATGTCGGTGGTGGGAACTGAACCTGGGTCCTCTGTAAAAACAATAAATGCTCTTAACTGCTGAGCTGTCTCTCCAGCTTTATTTTCTCTGACTTTATTCCCCTTTTGGTTTTGAGTCCTGGTTATATACCCCTGGGTTTGTGATAATTTGTATTTACTACTCAGTTGATTGTCCTCAGTTAGGAGAAGGCCCTAAAGAAAGGCATGTACTATTGGCTTTTCTCTCAGCTTCCTCCTTCCTCGCCTGTCAGAGTAGAGCCAAGTCTGGCTAGAACAGAGAGTTCTCCGGTGTCAGTGGTGCTTAGGTTTTGTATAAGTAATGTAAAAATGTAACATGAGGAGACATTACTAATAAAAAGTTTCTTAAAGCCAGGAGTGGTAATGCATTCCAAGTCAGGAGGGGAAGGAGCACAGACTATGGAGTGAGACCGGGCCATAACATTAAGTCAGGAGGGGAAGGAGGACAAATTCCAGGCCAGCACAGACTGTGGAGTGAGACCGGGCCATAACATTAAGTCAGGAGGGGAAGGAGGACAGATTCCAGGCCAGCACAGACTATGGAGTGAGACCGGGCCGTAACATTAAGAACAGTATTAACAGATTTTAGTTATAATCCAAGTGTTATCCCATTAGTTTATCCCAGATGTTACATTGGGAGAAAAAAGATGTTGAGTTCAGACTGATGTTGAAGGAGAGTGTTCCGGAAGCTGACGCTTTACTGGGGAATGGACAGGAGCCATCACCAGTGTGATAGATCTTGGAATAAACATCATATTGGATGCAAGAAGTCCTGATCCACATGGAAAGTAGCATTGTTCTGCAATTACATTAACGAGCAAAACACAGCTGCTGGATTATCCTGACTGTAGTCAGTGTATTCATAGCTCAGAATGTCAGAGGACTGGGAATGTAGCTCAGCAAAGACGGTGTGCCTCTCACACTCGAGGCCTGGGTCAGCCATCAGGACTGCAGACACTAAATAAAGGGGGCCGAGAGATCAATTTTAAAAACAATTCATGTGTACCTCCCCCAATCAAGTCCCCCTCCCTCGTCAGCCCAAAAAGCAATCAGGGTTCTCTGCCCTGTGGGAAGTCCAAGGACCACCCACCTCCATCCAGGTCTAGTAAGGTGAGCATCCACGAAACTGCCTAGGCTCCCACGAAACCAATAGGTCCAGTAGAATCAAAAACCCGTTGCCATTGTTCTTGAGGTCTCAGTAGTCCTCCTTGTCCGCTATGTTCAG